ACAGACCCCCTTCGACCCTCCAGCCGCCGCCAACGGTGCGGCCGCGGACTTCGGCCCCTCTTCACACACCTTGCAAACCCTCTGTTTTAAAAATGACGGGTGTTTTTTTCACGGTCAGCTCTTCACAAACCCCAAACAAAAATGAATTTGTCGTTTTAGTTATCAAAGGCCACAGGAAACAGAAAGGGACAGAAGCAACCAAGTTTGTATAAAAATAAAACCACTTTAGCCGATGGAATTTCCTTTTAAAGGTGGGTGCTCATGAGCTTGGATCATCAGTATTTCCTCAAGGACCTTGGCTCTGATCCCTGCAACAAACCAAATTTGGCTGTTCCTTGGTTTCCATCCATGCTCGTGCTCTAGCTGCTTTTTAACCCCTGTGCTGCCTCATGTACCAGCTGCCCATCATCTAAGGCTGATGCAATGACATCCCCGAAGGACAAGAGCAACGCCGTTTGGAACCTGTCCACAGGAAACATCCCCTTGTCCAGGGTCATTCCAGCATCACCCTATTTATAGTCTCTTTTCATGCGGTGACCAAGACTCTGGATGTAAAGAATACCTTCTGGGCCATGAACCAGTGTCTTCTACCCAAACGCTGGCCTCCCAAACACACAAAAATGGGCAATTTCCTTTGGTTGGTTGTTTGCAGTCTAGAAGCAAACTGAAGTCTTTTCCTCTGAAGATAAAGAAAATGATGTAACTAAGGTCAGGTGACTGTCTTTGCTCTTTGTCCTGTACGGGTGATCCGCAAAACCGAGGTCTCAAAACCACTCCACATGTAGGCAAGAACACGAAGACTATATGTACAAATAACATGTAAGCGTATCTATATATAAAAGTATCTATATTCACAGAGAGAGAGAAAAAAAGCATCCACAGATAAGCTAATTTTATCACAGCTATAAACCAAAGAAGAAGGACCAGAAAACCGAAGTAGCTGGGCGGACAGAGAGAATCTTTGGCGTGGCCAGAGCAGATTTGCACGGAGCTGTCCCGCAGCAGCTGAGATAAGGCACTGAATGGTTCGCTCTCCCTGCTCCTCCACGGAGCTCTGGGCGCTGGTTTACAGCAGCCAGACACAAACCATAATGCTGCCAGTCCTTTTAATCAGCGTGCCCACCAATGGCTTTCCAACCACTGCGATGGTAGCCAGGAATGTTTCCTATGCTTGTTTATTTGAGAGCAAGCATTGAAAACGGTGTTGTGTTTTGCCACAGGCATGCAGTGCTGTATCGTTCATCTGCTGGAGCAGAGACACGACGCAGGATACACTGCCGAGTCTCTCAGATCTGGAGAGAGCTGTTATTTAGTTATTTATTAACAGCCCTGTAATTAGTATTATAATTTTCAACTCTGCACATGAAAAAAACATAAACAGAAGACGCACCTGTACGTCTCTAACCTGTCTGCAAAAATGCTGAGTCGGTGCTGCAATACTACCGATTCACTGTAATTCACATCACTTGTTCTGACGCTGGGCTGAGCTCGTTCCATCGCCCCGCTGGGATCCAGGCTGCCCACCCCAGCAGGAGACAACGGCCGCGTCGCCTTGGCCGTGGCAGAGGCCCCACGCTGCACACCCTGCAGCGGGCAGAGGTCTGGCTGGAGGGACACGGCAGCAGAGCGGAGACCCCTGCCCTTCCCTGAGCCAGTCCCACCTCCTGCCTCCTCCTCTGCGTCGAAGAGAATTTGTCGAAATGGGCATATTGTTATCCGGTACGTTTTGAACATTTAAACAAACGGCATCGCTGGGTCAGGTTTCCTGATTGCTTAAGATCTGAAAATCTGAGCCAAGAACTTCTAAGCTGCTTCGTTCTGGCAAAAAATGGTATATATGAAACAAGCAGGAAACAGCAGCTTGGTTGTGGTCATTCCTGAATACTTCTAATAGAAAACGATGGCATTCAAACGGAAACAGATGCGTTTTACATAAACGGTGAGGCAACTCCTTTCTCTCTCACTTCCCTGTCCTTCTCGCTGCTCTTCTAGCAGAAGAAGAGCTATGCTGGAAGAGCTATGCTTCTGTTCAAGGTATTTCTGGCAGGAGAGGAGCCTGAGGAAAGCTCTAGGAAAAGCCTCAACCCATGAAATTTCCACCCCGAGATCCAGATTCCTTATGGGAGTGGCTGAGCACGCGGGACACCCAAACATCTGCATGCTGTCTACAGGCAACACGGTCCAAACATGGATGAACTCAATCCTACTGCTAGTAACAGTCACCAACCCTATCCTACAAACATCGGTACCAATTCAGGAGACCAGGCACGCTGCCTGACACATCTCTGTTGTCTGCCTGTTTTCCCGAAAACCCCAGGTAGGTGTTTTGGGAGCTTTTAGCTGTGCAACAGTCTGGTTCGGTATCCCAGAACACGTGTGCTAACTTAATTTACGCCTCACTACCTCATTCTTGAAAAGAAGTATCTAAAATTCTAAGCAGAACAAATCATAGTCCAAGATTAGACGCTAACATCATAGTGGCTATTTTTCCCAAGGACGGTTCATTCCAAGGGAGAGCGAGCTAACCTTATAAAGCTCTCTAATCCCGTCGTAACAAATGACAACACCGACAGCATGAAGCTCACTTGAAGACCAGGTAGACACGTCGGCTTCTCTGAGGTAACAACCAGACCATGCGAAATCCTTAAAATCAGTTCTGCATTTCTGTAATCTATAAAGTACATGAAAATGTTTTGCTGCTCATAAAAATGATGTGCTTATTTGGTATTTGCATACTGAATTTGGATACTCCAGATTAAACGACCAATACATGGGAAAGCACTGGCAAATCTTCTTCTCAACTACGTATTTCGCTATTTAAACGGCATTTGCTGAAGGGAAAAAAGGAGGAGGAAAACACTCCCCTCAACTCCCAAGATACTAATTTTGTAAGACAGCAGCGTGGTGTGGAATTGCAGAGTCGGTGGGTCAAGCTGGATGTGCTCTTGATCTCAGCCAAAATAAAAAGCAAAACTTAAACAGCTTAAGGGTAGAAGCAGCTGCTGGATTTTTTCAGTGACCTACATGGTGCAATGGGTAGAGCAGAGCCGAGGGAAGGCTCTGCTGGGAAGGCTGAGCTGGGACAGCCCTCCTCCAAGGACATGGACATCTCCAAAGGGCGAAGCCTACTGAGACAAAGGCAATTACAGCAGAGAAGGCTGCTGGGTGCTGGCTGAGCTGGGACCTTGGTCAACTGGAGAGTATGGCTGAGGAGGACGTGTCCTGCTCGATCGTGTTCTGAGCCCACGGGTGGGCTGGTGCTGCCCCCCCGGCGCTGCCGAGGGCTCTCGCCAGAGCGGGGTGCTGCCCCGTGGGAACTCAGCCAGTGCACAGGGACCTGGCACCCTCCTGCACCGCCAGCGCTCCTGTGGCCAACGGAGTCAGCTCCCGCAGGAATCCCCGCACAGTGCCATTCCACCAGGAAAGGCGACAACAGAGGCACTCCTCTAAGTCCCAGCACTTATTTCGGGGGTTCCCAACCTGGCCCTCACCCTCCTTTCCATTCAAGCTGAAAAGAAAACCACTTGGCCTTTCAAAATAATTTTACCGATTTCAGCCGTTTTTGCTGGCTTTTCCTAATTGATAAAAATGGTTTGTACAGCAGACTGTGCCCTGGGGGTTTGTCAGAGTAACACTCTTGCAGCTGCCTCTCGCGTGGAGGAGCTGGGCTCAGCAGCGTGTCACTTCTCTAAATAGCTATATAGCGAGAACGCAAGCGTCCGGAGGGCCAAATCCTGCACGCTGAAGTCCCAAACTTCATTAGCTCTCCGTGTGCTTTGGGCACAGCCCAAAAGCTGTGCCCTGGAGATGCCCCCACGCAGCCCCTCAGGCTCCCACCAATGTACTTGCTTCCCTGGCCACGGGCAGAGCTGGTGCTCAGGGGCCTGGGGCACGTCCTGCTCCTGCTTACAAACAGAAAGCTTTTGAGCCCACGTGTCCTGACCAGCGCCGTGGCCTCTACATGGCTGGAAGCACAATCAAACACAGCAGCTGACCTTGGCACCGTGACCCAAAGGGCTCCCACCACTGGCATCCTCCTCTCCATACTCATTTCCGAATCTAGTGTGACTTATTTATGAATTTATCTAATTGCACTTTGGTTTTACTCCACCTCTGGCAGGTATCCACCATGAAATAGAGTCCTCAAAGGGAAAACATCCCTTGGTGATTCCAAACAGCCACCCATGTGCCAGCTTCCCAGCTCGGTGCGGCTGCCTGTCCTGTAATCTGACCGTGCTTTGGGGAACGCTCTCCTCGGAGAAAACAACTCTAAAAAGGGAAACGATGTGATCCCGCAGAAGGGGAACCTGTGGTGATGTGAGCTCCGAGAATAGTGACAGCAGCAGCGGGAAACACTC